ATTATTATTATTATAGATAAACAATAAAGGAAATAAATAATATAATAAGGTTGCTTGCCCTTTTCCTTTAGCTACCTAAACTGTATTTCTCAAAGCCGAACTGAAGCTTTAAGTTACCGCAATGGTTGAAACGTGGGGACTGAAGAAAGATGTAGTTTTGGTTGGTGCAAGAGGGAAGGCAGGCTCTTATGGAGGGGGCAAAGACCTTGTGTGAACATGTATATTTGCACTATGACTCTGGAGGCCAGGGTTCGAATCCCTGCTGGGCCATGGAACCCCCCTCCCCACTGGGTGGCCTTGGGCAAGTCACACTCTCTCAGCCTCAGAGGATGGCAATGGCAACCCCCCTCTGAAGAAACTTGCCAAGAAAACCCCATGATAGGTTTGCCTGAAGTAGGATGGCCAGCTGTCATAAGAAGGACAAGGCACCGTAAAATGCAGGGTGTTCAAGAAAAATGTAGGACAGGACCAAATAAAAGCTAAAAACTCTCCTATAAAGATAAATTCATGCTTTTTAATCATGCTCAAAATGGAGTGCGTTTTGGAATTCCTCTTGGACAGAAGCCAGAAATGGAGGACATGTCCTGGAAAAGGAGGATGTCTGGTCACCCTGCCCTTCAGCCATTTAACCCTGCCTTGGGCAAGTCGCACTCTCTCAGCCTCAGAGGATGGCCATGGCAACCCCCCTCTGAAGAAACTTGCCAAGAAAACCCCATGATAAACCCCAGGAAAAATTACTTGGAGGCACACAACAAAATTTAATGAAACATAAGCATCTTAAAGGAGCTGGTATGGTGTAATGGTTTGAGTGTTGGACTACGACTCTGGAGATCAGAGTTCGATTCCCTGGTTGAACATAACAATCCAATTGGTGACTTTGGGCAAGTCGCACTCTCTCAGCCTCAGAGGATGGCCATGGCAAAAAACCCTCTGAAGAAATGTCAAGAAAACCATACGATAGATTCACCATAAGGTTGCCATAAGTTGGAAAAAACGCATTGAAGGCACACAACCATAACCTCCTTAGGCAAGTCACACTCTCTCAGCTTCAGAGGACGGCCCTGGCAAAACCTTCTCTGAAGACATTTGCCAAGAAAACCCCATGATAAG